ATGCCCACATCGAGTGCACAGGCTTCATCGATGGGCGCAACGCCCACGTCGGGCGCAACACCCTCCCCGCAAGGCGTCGCTCGCACGGTGCGCACTGCCGTCCTGTTTGGACGCAGCGTCTATCGGTCGTAGGAGCAATGCCCAGTTCGGGCGCAATGCCATCCTCTCCTCGCAATCCTGATTATGCGTGAGCCTCCATTCTTTTTGTTACCGGTCTTTGGGTTATTACGACTATTTTCATCAGCGGTCTTATGTTTAGTATTCGGGATTGTGCTACTATTCGTAATCTTCTTTTCTATCCTCGCAGTCTTGCCGGTGAGCCTCCCTCCTTCTTCTTCCACACGGTTTCAATGCCTGGCGCAGTGCCCTCGTCTCCGCGCGTTCCTATTCGTGAGCCATCCTGTGTCACTTTCGCACGTATCAGTGTGTATGCCTCGTTCTTGATTTTTCCGTTTCTTCTCCCAGCTCGGTAACATAAAACCAGGTGGGTCCCTCAAGGGGGGGTAGAACTGCTTGTGTGCGAGGGTCCTGGGGCCCCGAGGTTTGGGCCCTCCTCCCACAAAAGCCGTCATCTAGATTCGTGCCAACGCGCGCCCCACATCGGCACCTCGAGGCAATGCCCCGCCGTGGCAACGAGGGCCTCCCCCAAGAGGCCCGTCCTCGTCCTCCTCCTCCTTTTCCTCTTTTTCCTCCCCTTTCCTCCTTCGTTTTTGAGAGTCCGTCAGACGGCTGGTTATCGGTTGAGACGAAGGGACAGCATCCTCATTAAAAGTATCCAGTTTATCCTCCTCCCCCTCCTCCTCTTCTTCCTCCTCCTTCAACCTCCAGATTCCGTTGTTTTGTTCGTGACGAGGGCCCCCAGATGCCTCGACCTGCCCCGTCCCTGGTATACCGGTCCCCCCCCGACACTTCTGTTGACGGCCCTGGCATCCAGAGCGGGCCGCTCCAGACGCCGAGGCCAGAATTGGCGGCAAGCCCTGGGGGGAGCCTGGAGGGGGCAGGCCCATCCTCCTCCTCCTCCTCCTCCTCCTCCTCCTCCTCCTCCTCCTCCTCCTCCTCCTCCTCATCATCAGAAAGCGGCGGGGCTTCTCGGAAACCCTGACGCCTCCTCCGAGGATGCCGAAAGAATTCTCGGAAGGGGCAGGGGCTTCTGAGCAGCCCCGCCGCCCTTTGAGGAGGCCTGCCCCCCCTGTCACCCCCCCCTTTGGCAGGCCCACCACCGCCGACAGAACAACCACAGACGACGTCACAAGCACGAACCGCCGGACGCCCGGGCGGGTCTCTTGGGCCAGCGCTGCGCGCCCTCCCCCCGGGGCACCCCGGCGCGCGAGGCTCGCCCGAGACGGCGCCCGAGGCACTGCCCAGAAGTGGCGGGGAGGGGGGGGTCCAAGGCCGACCCAAGAAGCCAGCGCGGACCTCCAGGACTGCATGCCCACGCGCCTTCTTTGGGCGGCGCGCCCAGGGGGGGAGCGAGAGGGGGGGATGCCTTCTCATCCAGCGGTGGGGCTTCTCAGAAGCCCTCCAGCACTAAGACGCCTGCGTCTTCGGAGGGCAAGAAAACTTTTGCGCCTTCTTAGAAAACCCGCGCCCTCTGCATTCGCCTCTGGGCGTGCCGCCGCTTCTGTTGTTTGGGTTCCGTCCGTGGCACTTCGCAAGACCAGGACCCAGATTGGGGCAGGGAAGCGGCGCTCCACTGGTGACCCTCCCTGCGCCATCACGCACAATTCTGGCGGCGCACACGAGGGGTGGGGGGAGCGGGGAAGGCTTCCAATAAGGCTGCTCCTTAGAAGGAGCCGGCCCCAATCTGCAGACAGCGCCCGCGCCTTCTGAAAAGCAGAGGTGCTTCTGAGAAGCCTTCCCCCCTCCCCCCACCCCCTCTGCGCGTGGCCGACAATAATTAACGGGCACAGAACGGTATATAGTAAACTTGTTTGCTGACGGGGGCGCCTGTCCCAGGGCGGTTGGAAAATTCATACCCTTACGGTGGCACGTCAAAATATAAACATTCCAGCCGCCCTGGGGCAGCGCCCAAGGTGACGGACAAAAAGTATGTTATGCCGTTCTTCGCCCGCTAAAAGACGGGGGCGCTCTTTCACCTTCCTGCGCGCTGCCAGGGCGCGCTGCTCACAGCGCCGCACCCCCGCGGCCTGGACACCCTGCCGGGGAGGGGCTTCGCCTCCCGAGAGGCGCTTTCCGACGCACGGGCAGCTGGGCGCACCTTGGGCCAGGGGCACTTCTAGGCTTCGTTCACGACCCCCCCCCCAAGTAGTCCGGGGCGGTCTCGACCCCCTTGCGCCGCCTCTGGCGGCGTCACTGGGGCGCTGCTCGCCCAAGGGCTCAGGTGTTGAGACCGCCCCAGGCGCCCGGGGGGAGGGCCTGTAGGGAGCGCAAAACAACGCACGCTCCCAATCACGTACGCGAGTACAGCCCCGCAGTCCGCGAGACCAGCCTCGTGATACGAACGTTCGCGCAATGCGTACTTTCGAAACCAACGTCGCTCCTGAGCCTGCTCGGGGGGCCTGTCGCCAGCTGGGGCTGCTCGGGGGCGCCAGCTGGAGGCCAGCAAGGGACCACCACCCGCGTGGGTGCCGTCTGCGCGCAGCCCGAGGCCTCACCAGCGCCCATGCTTGCTGGGTGGGTGTCCGTCTCGGGTGGCACCGGGTCCGAGCAGGGAGGCCTCCCCAGCGGGCTCCTCGGAGCGGACTGGCCGAATGCGGAGCTCGGGTCGGACGGATTGGAGGCCCCGTCGCCGAGGACGCTCGGCGGAGGGCTCGAGCGCGCCTCGTCGTTGTCGTCATCGTCGTCGTCGACGTCGTCGTCGACGTCGTCGTCGTCGACGTCGTCGTCGTCGTCGGCGTCGTCGTCGTCGTCGGCTCGTCGTCGTCGTCGTGCGGCGGGCGGGACGAAGATCGCGCCTCGGAGAGCGGGCCCGCCGCAGTCGCTAGCTCGGAGAAAGGCCGCAGGTCGGAGCGGCATCTTCTCTCCCAGGCGCTGTGCGGGAAGCAGTAGTACTGCCCGTCGACGACCACCAGGGCACAGAGCCCCTGCGCGCAGCGCAGCGCCTGTCACGAGCGGCGAGCCCATATCTATACACATATATACATACATATACATACATACATATACGTATATACATATATACATATATATATATGTATGTGTATAGATGTATATATATATATACATCTATACATATCCACGCCCTCGCGGCCTGCACTCCAGGGCGCGATCCCGCGGATACACTCGAGCGCACTGGGGCGTCCCGCGCGGGGCACCCGCTGACAAACGACCCGTATCCGCGGGGTCGCGGCACGGGGGGGGGGCCCGGCCCCCGAGGCCGCGGATATACGGACGTGCTTCGCCCACGAGCCTGGGCGGGCGTCGGGGGCACGGGCAGGTGCGCGGTCGTGGTCGGGTCGAGGTCCTGGGCGGAAGACGAAGCCGGGACCAGGGCAAAATCGGACCTGGACAAATCGGGGATCTCTGAAATCCGGCGGTGCTGGAGGATGTGCGTATACATACATATATAGACAGATATATATATATAGAGAGAGAGAGAGAGAGAGAGAAAAAAAAAAAAAAAAAACATGTGAAACTATACATAACATCATATATTCACTAAAAAATATCGTGAATATTATCAGTGTTAATATTGTCATCATCATCATTATTAGTATTATGATTAGTATTATCAGTAGTAGCATTATTATTAGTATTATTCGTATCATCGTTATCACCATCATTATTAGTATTATTAGCATTATCATTACTACTATTATTATTATTATCATGGTTATTATTATTGGTATCATTAATATATATGTATATATATATATATATACACCCTTCGGCCCAAGATCGCTTCCTGGACGGCCCCGCGGACCCGCAGAACGGCCCCAAACAGCTTCCAGAACAGCCCGAGAAGAGCCCGAGAGGGCCAAAGAGGCCCGAAGCTTCCCAATAAGGCCTCAAGACGGCTCGGGAAGCCTCCCCAGGCGCCCCAAGGGCTTCCAAGAGGACACCCGACATGATTCGAGGCCAAAAACGTCGAGTCTTCTTACGTTTTTGACGGATCCTGGAGTCCCCGCCTCTTCGGGCACAGAGCGGCCCAACACGGCTCTGGCGTCCTGCGAGATCGCAGCCCGACGGCCCAGGAGGCCCCGAGAAACGCATCCGGGCGGCCCAGGGTCCCTATGGACGGCCCCGGGAGGGCCCCAAAGACCGCCCGAGGGGTCCCCGGCACGGCCAGAGAGGGCGCCACGAGGCCCCCCTCAAGGGGGCCTCCCGTGGAGCGCCAGGACGGCCAGAGCCCGGCAAGACAGCCCAGCAGGGCCCCAGGACGGCTCAGGAGGGCCGGAGAGCAGTGCAAAAGGGCCCCAGGAGGACCCCCACGAAGGCCCGGAGAGGCCAAACACCTGCATGCCCGAGGCCTCCAAATACACTTGCTCGGGTGCGTGCTTGGGCGAGGTATTCGGGTGGTTGTGTTTTGGAGTTATGGTGTTCAAGTTTGGGTGTTCGGACTCGGGTGTCGGGGTCAGGAGTCGGGGTGTTCGGGCTTCGGTCGTTGAGTTCAGGTTGGAATGCTAGGGTTAATGTGTACGCTACGGTGAAAAGATTCTGGCGTTCAGGTTATGTTCCGCCGCACGAGAGTCCCAAGATGCCCCCCAAGAGGGTTCTGGATGTCACAAATAAGAATTCCGCACAATATTCTGATAAATTTGAACGTGCTCGCTTTTTCCAAAACGAAAATGACTCCTCAGGAGGCCCCAAAACGGCCCAAGAAGGCTTCCAGACTGCCCAAAAGGCTCCGCAAGACGCCTCAAGAGTGCCCAAAGAAAGACAAACCGAATTGATACTTCGAGCCCTGCTCTCAAAGACGGTCCTGGAAACTGCCACGGAGCCCCTAAGACACCATCAAAGCCCCCAAGAGGCCCCCTAGGACGCCCTCAAAGCTCCCAAAACGCTCTCAAAAGACTCATCCCGGAAGCCCCACAAACTCTATCACCCCTATGAGCCTGACGCGCCACATGACCCTGTATTCTGATCGACCTCGTGAACCTCACAACCCGTACGAACCCCATGACCCTGATGGCCCAGTGAGCCCTACGACACCTACGAACCCGATGAGCCATGCGAGCCCAAATAGCCCTATGAGGCCTACGAGCCTTACGCGCCCTCCAAGAGACACCCAAGCCCCTAACAGCCTTGCAAAACCATGCTGGGAATCTCTTTGGATGCCTTTGGGGGACGTTATCGGAAGGCTCTTAGGGGTTCTGGGGGGTGGGGTCTCTTGAGTTTTTGTTGGGGGTCTCCTGGTGGCCTCTTGGGGCTTCTTGGGCGCGCCTCGGGGGCCTCCCCGGGGATTTTGGCATTTCGCCTCGAAATCTCGAGTGGGGTCGACATTGGGAAAAAAGGACGTGAGGGATTTTCCTTTTGTGTCAAGCTGGGTCTCCTACCAAATAGTGGAGCAAGATGCTGTGCGAAAGTGGCGGAGGGAGGAGGAGAGAGAAAGATGAGAGATGGAGGGGACGGAATCGCATGAGGTAGGCGGAGAGACGAAGGCGTGAAGGAGAGACAAAGAGCAGGGAAGCCAAGAGCAAGAGAGAGAGAATGGAGAACGGACACCGGGGGATGGGAGAAACGGAAACGCACTCTAGGGGGGGGTCGAACTCGAAAACATTGGATTTGAGGAAATTCAGTTTTTTCAAGTTGGCTCTGGAGGCCCTCAAGAGCACCCTTGATCGCCCGAAGGAGACCTCCGAGAGTCCTCCAAGAGATCCAGGGAAGCCCTCGAGAAGCCAAACGGATGGCAAAACCTGGGGGGGGGAGGGGTTGATGGTGTTCTCGCATTTCCGCCTCCAATGCGCTTCCGAGGTTTGCGCATGCCCCCATGAGCCGCTCGGGATGGTTCTTGGGGGCCTCTTAGGGCTCTCCTGGGGGCCTCCTGGGAGCTCGTAGTGCTCTCTCGGGACTCTCTTCGGCGCTGGATGCCTCCGGGGCGGCTCCGCTCCGGGGAGCTCATTGGCGGCCTACTTGGAGCGCCTTTGGGGCCTCGGTGGTGCTCCTTCGGGCGTCATGGGAACCCCTTGTCGCCTCTTGGGTCCACCTCGCACCGCTCGGGGCGCCTCTTGGGGGCCTCTTGGAGCTCTCTTGGAGGCCATGCTCAAGCCTCGGAAGCGTGTCGGAGGCAGAACTGCGAGACCACATATCATTGCTGTATGTATTCATATGCATGGGCCTTGGCATATACATATACAACTACACATGCGTGTACATGTACATACACATATACATATGCATATACACATACGTATACGTATACATATCCATAAACATATACATGCGCATGTGCACATGTATATACACAATACATACACACATACATGTACACTAACATGTGCATAGTGATGTATCTATACACATACATGCACATACACATCACACATGTACATAAATATACACATGCATATATAGATACCTGTACATTTGCATGTACAGGTACGTATACATGTACCTGTACAGTTATACGCGTACACAGATACATATACATCTACATCTACATATACAAGTACATATACATACACTTATACATATACATATGCATATACATAAGGGCATACACAAACCTTTACATGTACATATACGTTTGCATACGTGTATCCCCATACAAATACAGGTTTACTTACATACACACAGACATGCATACACACATTCATAGCGGCAGACAGGCATACACACATACATACCTACTTGCATAAATGCATGTACCCATGCACACATACCTACATACACACATGCATGCACACACAGACAAGCATGCATACATGACTACAGCCACATCTGTATACATACACATGCATGCATGCATGTAGACAAACATGCGTGCACACGTACATACATGCATGCATACGTATACATAAATACATACAAATCTGGACTTGTAATTTTAACACATCAACACATATGCGTACAACCGTAAGTATGACTGTACATATGCATACAACTGCGCACAACTAAAAATTACGCATAACGGTACAACTGCACATGTGAACTATACGTTGAACATCTAACTACGACTGCAAACATTCAAATACGCGTGTACGTACATGTACACGCATATACATACATATATATATATACATCTATACACATATAATTCTAGATGTACGTATACATATGAATACAACGGGCACTTAAGCATGTAATTACTTATGAGTAGATGGGCACGTATATTAATGCACACATACCTATAATTCGAAGTGGGCACATGAAATAATGCAACGATTAATATACATGCACATATAACTGCAATGCGTAACTATGGTAAAGACGACATGTCTGACGACATGTATGCTTCAAACTAGGTAAAATCATATGTATGTATATATCAAAAAATCGGACCACGAGAACAACGTATGACTATGTATATCTATATATGGAAGTGGATACGAATATACATGCGAATACATACATACATACTGACACACATTTGAATCGACATATAAGTATATAGATACACACATACCTATGTACAAATACGGTTACGTATACACGAGGATGGAATCATACTTACACGTCTACTCACATGTGTAAGTATGATAATGCGTAGTCCTATACAAGTGAATACACATCTGATTATGGATATGACTGTAGCTACAAGTATAGCTGTGTAAACACATGCATATGCAAATTCATGCACACATGCAACTATACATACACAGTTGACCTGATATGTACATACACGTATAAAAAATATACATAATATGCATTATAGTCTGACTACATGATATATGAGAGTACATATACATATATATATATATATATATACATAATTATGTGTATATATATTTATGTATAGGAATGTATTGGGCGCCGCGGCTGCTCTAGAGCGCTCCGGATGGCTCTAGAAAGATTTGTCCAAGCCCTAGCCCCGGCAGAAACCAACCACCTGTGAACCCTACCCCAACAAGTCAGACTTCTGAAACGCGGGCTGCGCTCAGAATATTTGTAGGATGCCTGCAGCCAGACGAACCCTGGCGGGGGTGTCTCAGACCCCGGGGACGATTGGACCCGTGGCTTAGATTCTCGCTCTGGGGATCTTCCTGGAACCACTCGATCCACTCACGCGTCGATGATGCATCGAGCGTCCGTCGATTTCTGTCGAATTCGAGTCGAGTTAAAGCCGAACTAGAGCGAAACTCGAGTCGAACAGATCCCTTGGGGGGGCCCCAGGGAGGCCCACCAAAATGAGCATCGAACGCGAGGGCCAGGTTCGCGGGCGGTCGCAGAGGGTCCATGAGCAGGGGGATCAGGTCGGCGGCGCGCAGGTCCAGGTGATTGCCGCCGTAGGCCCACCTCACGTAGGTCGCCAGCTCCGGGAGCCTCCCGCCGACCACGAACCTGCTGAGGGTGTCGCCCGGGGCGCGGACGAGCTGCTGGTTGACCCAGCAGCCGGCGCGGCGCTGCATGATCAGGGCCGCCACCTCGGAGTGCCAGCCCATGACCGCGGGCCTGGCGAGCGCGCCGAGAGCCCAGAGCAGGGCCACGACGGCCTCCCCGCTGATGGTGAGGGACCACTGCAGGGAGGGCGCCTGCATGAACCAGTACTGCAGCGCTCGGCCTGCCGGACTCTCCGAGTCCATCGCCGACCAGACCTCCTCCATGAGACTGTCGAGCAGGGCGTCCGAGTTCACCGAGGACTGCCTCTCGAGCTTGGCGCCCAGCCCCGGGGACGCGGCCCACAAGTCGCGCACGTCCGCCCAGGAAAGGTAGCCGCCGATTTCTGCCCCACACGCATTCAGCATGTTCGACAACTGCATGTTCGGGTCTGCTCTGCAGTCTTCCGCGTACGGATCGTCGTATGGCCTCTCCACTATGATGTCTTCCGAGGTGTTCCCCGTGCGGAGGTCTCGCATTAGAGGTACGAGGGCGTCGGCCTTCCGGAAGCACAGCGGCATCTTCCGCCTGACCCGCTCCAGCGACATGATCTTGGCCATGCATACGCCGAACAGGCATCCGACGACCAGGAGCCCTGTCACCCAGAAGTATAAGACCTCGAATGTACTCTCCGCCTCCTCTTCCTCGAAGTCAGCGGGGTCAAAGTGTGACGTGATGAATCGCTGCGCCTCCTGCACTGAGCTATCGCTCATCCGGCAGGCGCCTGCGTCTCCAACTAGATGCTGCCCTCTATCACCGAAACCGAAATTGATGAGATCCCACGCCATCACTGAAGCTGCCACGTTTACGTTCATGAAGAGCTGCCGCGCGAAGGGATAGTGCCGCTCAGCAGTCATCATGCAGAAGGCTTCCTCAATGTGGTTCACCAGCGGCACCATGGAGAGGAGCCCAGAGGAGTTCTGATAGTAGTTGTAGCCGACGAATCCAATGGCGTACTCGCTGCCCAATACTCCCTGGATAATATCGTTGTCGTCCTCGGACGCGTTGTACAGCTGCTGGTTGAAGGTGTCCAGCGTGTGATTGAAGGCCTTCTCGAAGACCTCGAGAGTGCCGCTCTTCTTGCCAGGGACCCATCGCTCAATGCATGCGTCCGCACACTGCGGGCTGCCGTCGTTGCCCGGCAAATCCTTCCATCTCCTGCAGGCCCCGCCCTCCCCCTCGCTCCGAGTGAATATCCAGTCGATCTGCTCCATCGACACGGGCGTCCCGATGTGTCGCAAGCAATGCTGAACGGGACTGCCTGTCCGCATGAACACCGCAATGCCATCCCAGGCGATTGGCAACTGCCCGACGGTGATCCCGGCCTCCCCGGCGCACCTGTACAGCGCCGGCCCCGCAGGCCTCCGCATGATAAGCGTCGCCTCGTCGGTGTGCCAATCACGCGACATGGTGCCTATGTCGACCTCGCCGTTGCAAAGGCGACGCGCGCCCGTGGACGAGCCGAGGTTCTTGTGGTCGATGAATGCCTCAGCCAGATCCGGCTCGACAATCCCCACGTCCGGGCCCCTAAACCACTGAGCCCACCGCGCCACGATCGGCAGCGCGGTCGAACTCCCAGAGACCAAATGCTCGATAGCACCGACTTCCGTGAGCAGCCCCCCAGCCGTCGCTGCCAGGGCGGCTGCAACCCTTTCTGGGCGCCTGAACACGTGCATTGCATGGTGGTGCCGCCGCGCACTTCCCGCCTGGGGTGGAGCGCGGAATCCCGATGCCCCACGCGGCCATTCAAATGAGCCTGCGCGGGCTGAAATCTAAGTGACCCTGGACGCGGGCGATGATGATCATACAGTCAACCCATATAGTAAGAATGCGCGGTAAGGATGCATGGGCCTTGGACGCACGTGCCGAGGCTCTTCGAGCGGGGCTGGCCATAGAAAGGTGGTTGAGGGAGGACCGAAGATGACCGAAGAGGCAATGATGTAAGGGTACCCTTGGGAACCAGCCGGGTTGACTGTAAGGAATGGCGGAGACGACGTCGACGACGATCTCGTTTTGTGTCAGGTGCTGTTACGCCGCACGGGCGGGCGCCAGCCGCCAACTGGAAGCGTCGCGTCCCGAGAGCCCTCTGGGCGGAGGTGTTCTGGAGCGCTTCCTCTTCCAGCCCCCTTCTTCCCATTCGGGGAGAGGAGTATCCTTTCCCGCATTGCAACACTTCCCCCCGCGCCTGTGGACTGGACATGACTGGCCAGTCTGGCGCGGGGGCCGCCCGCGGGAAACCGCAGAGAGAATGACGAGACACGTGCGAAAACCCTTCTTGGGCGGGGACACGGATTCCAGGGTTGGGGGAGGGGGAGGAGGAGGAGGAGCAGGAGGAGGAGGAGGAGGAACGAGGAGGAGGGGGCCTTGCGTGTCTATTTAATCGTGTTCGGGGGTGCTGCTGGGACCCCACAGGGGCTCTGTTGTGGGCCCTGCTGGGCCCCCACAGGGGGGCGCTCATTGAGCTCAACTGGGACCTTCTCGGGGCGCTTTGGGGATCCTCTTGAGGGCATCTGGGCCCATCTTGGACCCTTTTCTCAGCCCGTCTCGGACCTGGCTCGGGAAATCTCGTGACCAGATTGAAGTCTACCAGCGCTCATTCTACATCAAAGCCCTCTCCCCCACTCGGCCGGCCGCATACCAGGATCCCATGACGGCCCAAGAGGGCCCCAAGACGGCTCCAAAGGATCCCAAAAGCTTCTGCACAGGAGGACAGTAGGCCAACACGGCACCAAGATGGCCCGCGGGCATCATGATAACTCCTGAAGAAGAGAAGACGCGACGTCTCACATGTCACGGCCGTTCCTCCTCCTCCTCCTCCTGCTGCTGCTACTGCTGCTCCTGCTCCTCCTTCTCCTCCTCCTCCTCATCATCACCATCACCATCACAACCGCAAACATCATCATCATCATCATCATCATCATCATCATCATCATCATCATCATCATCATCATCATCATCATCCTCATCCTCATCATCATCATCATCCTCATCAGCATCATCATCATCATCATCATCAGTAGCATCATCAGCATCGTCATCATCATCATCATCACCGCCTTCATCATCACCATCATGTTTAGTACCATCAGCAGCATCATCATATGCGTCATATTGATCATCATCAGCCCCATCAACATCGACATCATCAGCATCATCAGCCGCATCATCACCATCGTCATTATCAGCATCGGCTTTTCCTCCAATTCATCAGCATCATCGTCAGCATCATGACCACCACCTTCATCACCCTCATCATCCCCACCACCATGACCATCACTGTCACCATCACCTTCATCATCAGTATCATCACCATTCGCAGCATCATCACGATCATCACCTTCATCGACATAATCATCAACGACAGCATCAACATCAACATAACAATCATCAGCACCAGCATAAGCATCAACAGCACCAACATCAGCACCAACAGCATCATCACCTGCATCATCACCTGCGTCATAAGCATCAGCATCATCACCATCTTGATCGTCCTTATCATAATCATCATCATCAGCACCATCAACATCGACATCAACAGCATCATCAGCAGCATCATCATAATCAGCATCAGCAACATCATCACCATCATCACCATCGTCATCATCATCATCGGCTTCACCTTCATTTAATCAGCACCATCGTCAGCATCATCATCACAGCTTTCATCACCCTCATCATCCCCACTACCACCACCACCACCACTACCATCACCATCATCACCATCATCAGTATGCTCACCATTATCATCGTCACGATCTTCACGTTCATCAACATAATCATCAACAGCAACAACATCAGCATGACCATCATCAACATCAACATAATCATCAACGGCATCATCATCACCAACAACATGAGTATCAACTTCATCATCATCCGCATCACGGCTCTCCCAAACCTGTTCTTGGCGTGCCAGATAGGTGAGGTCGCTTTGGCCCTTCAAAAAATTCCCATAAGGATCCCGACCGATCCCGCTGGCCACCCAGAAACAGAGGGAGGCAAGTGCCACCCCGCTCAAAAAAAGCTCCGAGATTGCCTCCAAGATGGCCCAAAAATGCTTCCGTGACGGCTGAAGATACCTCTCAGATAGTCCTAAGACGATCCACGATGAGCCCATGACGGCCTCAAGACGGCCCAAGTGGCCTGATGCCCCCCCGAGGGCCCGAAGAGGCCAAATCAATGATTCAAATCTGCCCCCCCCCCCCCCCCTGGGTTGCGAAAGCCAGAGCGTCTGAGTATGAGTATAGTGAGTGCGAGTCTAAGTCTGAATGGGTCTGAGTACGAGTGAGTTTGACTACGAGTGAATATGAGGGTGGGTGGGTCTGAGTGTGAGTGATTCTGAGCGCGAGTAAAGCTGATTGTGAGTGCGTCTGAGTATGAGTATGATGGATATGAAACTGGCCCTGAGTGGGTCTGAGTACGAGTGAGTCTGACTACGAATGAATCTGAGGGTGGGTGGGTCTAAGTGTGAGTGAGTCTGAGTGTGCGTAAGTCTGGGTGTGTGAGTCTGAGTATGAGTATGAGATGAGTCCGAGTCTGAGTATGAGTGAGCCTGAGCACAAGTGAGTTTGAGCATAAGTGAGTCCAGGACATCCTCGCAATCTGGGCCCTATGGGAGTGCGGAAAGCAACGCCTCGCCATAGACATCCTCAGAACCTGCTTTGACAGCAGACGAGTCTGACCACCAAAACACGCAAACCGCTTGAGACACCCTCGAAATCTGGCCCCCCTGGGGTGCGACAACCAGCGCCTCGCATGAGACATGCTCAGAATCTGCTCCGAAAGCGGAGCATGTTGAGGACCAAAACAGGCAAACCGCCTGAGACATCCCCGCCATTTGGGCGCAAACGGAGGCCGTGCAATACCCCTGGCGGCCCCCCCTTTATGAGTGCTAAAACCAGCAAACCACTCGAGACATCCTCATCATCTGCTCATCGTCATCATCGTCATCATCATCGTCATCATCATCATACTCATTCATCATCCGCCATCACCATCATACTCACATCATACTCTCACCGTACCATGGGCATCATCATGACAATCATCATCAGTGTCTAGTGCACAGAGGGAGGAGGGGAGGGGTTCTCTTGGTCCGGCGCGGTCAGAGAATAAGAAGAATCCCATCCTTTGGATATGAGGAACAATAACCCCGTCCTTTGGATATTGGGAATAACAAAGAACCCATCTTAAGACATGGGGAATAACGAAAACGGAAACAGGGGGAACGGTAGCGGTATCGGCACTGTTTCCTCCACCGATGTCCGCCCAGATCAGGGCGGTCGCGCCGTCCCAGCACAGGACCGTGGTGCGGAGAAGGGCAAGTTGAGGCAGCGACAGCTCTCCCGCCCGTCCCAACTACTCTCAAAACTGGTCCTGTCGGCGGTGGACAAACCTCGCTTTAGTAAACCGCCCTTTAGTGAAAACGGCCTAGGACCGAAACCGGCGGACCTGGATCCGAAAAAATAACGCCCGCGACGCCCTCTCGCGAACCGAAAACGGCCAATTCGCCAATCGACGTGTCAAGGTAGGAAGTCTATCAACCTCCGATCGTGTTTTTCGACGCGGATCCAGCCGTGGGGACGAGAAGCCTGGAGGAGGCCCGAAGGGGACCACAAACGCCAGGGACCCAGACATCCGGCGCCTCCAGAAGTCTGGACCACTTCCCTCCTCCCCCCTCTCCTACTCCTCCTCCTCCTAAAACTGTTTTTGTGTCGTGAGCCACTTCGTTGACCCTCCCAAGGGGCCCGCCGAGGGCCCTCCCCAGAGGCCGAAAACAGCCCCAGAGCTGGCCGCTCTTACTAGCTCTAGCAGAAACAGTGATCGAGCGAAGCGTGGTCGCGCAAAGTCGCGCAGGAGAACGAAGCAAGAGAACAAGAATCGACGCCCAGAGTCCGACACAAGAGCCCACACAGGACCGCACAAGACATCCCGCACAAGACCTCTCACAAGACCTCTAGGACCACTCTCTGTTAAAAGTCGTACTTCTGCTGACCCATCCGTCCAAGGATCCCTCAGGTAGAGGCCTCCTAGATGTGGTCGGAGTAGATGGGGTCGGAGGATCGCGCCGCATCGGCGATGCACTGGCGATGCACTGGCGACGCATCGTCGACGTCGGCGGTGCATCGCCGACGTCGGCGTGGAGAAAATTGGGCCCCACATCGAGCCGCATCGCCGATGCATCGAAGATGAATCGGCGATGCGGCGCGATCCTCCGTCCCCGTCTCGACGCCATCTAGGAGGCCTAGATGTAGGTCGGGCATATCCTTGTACACGCGGGTTTGGGACGACAAGCAAAAACAACAGAACAACTCAAACACAAACATAGAAAAAACATCAAAACATCGTCCCCAAACTATGTTTCGACTGTTTCCGACGATTCCTCCTGTAGAGGCACAGGCCCGACTCAACTCCAGGAAACCTGGATCAGCGGGTCCCTCCCGGAATCCGTCCATCCGTCCATCCAGCCTCTGACGACGGGAGGCACCCCTCTGCCGCAGGCGCGCGGGCGGCGGACCCTGCTCCGCAGGGCGCGCGCGCGCGCTGCGGCGCCTCCCCTCCCCGCGAGCGCCTAGAAGACTAAAAGGCGAACGGGGCGGGGGCGGCACCGCGGGAGGCCAGCGGCGCCGGCCCGGGCGCCGCGCGGGGGAGAGCGAGGGAGGGGGGGGGCAGGCCAGCACTGGCCTGGAGAAGCAGTGCAGCACGAATCGTATCGTCGATCTGTCAGGGGAACAAGCGGTGACACAAGCATTATCAAGTCGGAGGTCCGCGCGGATTGCACGGATCGGTTCTGGGCCCCCCTTCCCTGGCGCGCGGATCGCGCCTGGGGCGGTGCCGGAGGCGCCGCCAGGGGCGCTCCATCGCCGATCCGAGGAATCCGCGAGGACCTCCGAGTTTGCATTTTCAAGTCATCGCTTAATCCCCTGCATCTGTTCGGTTTTCGTCGCCTTCGGATTTTCGTGGTGTTTGGCCTCTGGGCACCGTCTTCGGGCCCAGGGGCTGGCAGAAGCGGGCCCTGGATGAAAAACTAACTCCCAGGGAAGCCCCCAGGACGATTCGTCGACACCTGCTGCTGCTCCAGGAGCGTGTAGGTGCTCTCGCGCCATCTCTGACGTCCTGCCCCCCCCCGACCATCCCGTCCTATTGCGCCGATTACTTCTCGATCTGCCGACGCGTGTGATGGCGGAATTGCAACTCCAAAACGAAGCCCATCGTGCAGTGCGCAGTCGGACAAGGGGAGCGGCGTACATTCGAGGAAGAGGTGGCGGATGAGCAGGAGGATGAGCAGGAGGAAAAGCAGGAGGATGAGGAAGGAGAGGACGAGGACGGACAGCAGCAGCAGGAGCTGGAGTAGAAGGAAGGGGAGGAACAGGAGGACCAGGGGAAGGTGGAGAGATGGAAAGGAGGGTAACGACAACGATGAAGAACTCGGCTCTGGAAAAATGGCCATCGCTGAGGCGAGAGTGCCAATTCTGCACGACGGGAGCAACGCGCCGGTCCTAAAATGAGGACCACGCTGCAGCGGAAACGAGAACTTTCTCTGATTTGACGAAAAGCATAAGAAACATATAATCAGGAAACCCTATGCAAAAGGCGATAAGCAACACACAAACGCAAGGGAAGGGACATCTTCGGCACAGAGTGAAGGAAGACGGGAGAGTAGTACTGGTAGTAATTGTGGAGGGTGAGGGAGGTCGGGGGGAAACGAGGGAGGAGGAAAGAGGGGAGGAAAACAGGGGGGAGGAAATGAGAAGGAAAGGGGGGACGAGAGGGAGGGAAAGGTGGGAGAGGGGGGGATGAGGAACGACAGAAATCTGGAATCGAGAATCCAGGGCTCCAGGGAAGGGGGGGGAGGGGCAGGAAGAGCTGGGGAATGGCAGCCGCCCGAAACTGGGGATCGAAGTCCAAGGGTTGAGCCTGAGCTGGATCGAATCGCAAAATCGGATCGGATCGGAAACGCATCGGATCGTCAACAAATCGTCCAGACTCGAATCGAAATCGGAATGTCGTGCCTGGCTCCGATTGGCCCTGGCAGATGTTAGTGAATTGTGCCGAATCGAATCGAATCAGAATAGCGGTCCAAGCCAGCGAATTTAATCGCAACAATGGCCCTGCAAGGCCAGTATTATGATATACGTTTGTCCGCGGCGACTTGGGTCCAAGACGCGGTCAGGACAGCCGAGGGAACTTCCGAGCGCAAGTGGGCACAAGGGAAGAAAGAACGGGTACGGATGGAGGAGAAAGCTGCGGGCGGCGCAGCACACTCATATCGTGAAGATCTTGCACGTGAGTGTCACAACAAAAACTTACACGGGCAGCAAGCCGCGAGTGGCGGGCAAACCTGCGGTCGTGTCAGGGTGCCAAGTTCACGAGGTGCCAAGTGGCGCAACTTCGAGGCGACTGCGCACGCCAGTCATGTGAAGGACAGTCCAGGTGGCAAGGGCAGTACCCAGTTCCAGAGAAGTTGCGACAACCCCTCTCGCCGAAGCGCAACCGGAGGAACGCAGGTGTTATGATATACGCGTATCTTGTAGGAACGGTCTTGTTATAAGATAGCCTCCAATGATGCCATGATAGCCAATTGCGCTGGTGTCGCACATATCCTCGTCCCGCCCCGCCCCCCCCTCCCGAAATGCCCCTCCCTTCTGAGAAGGGGGGCTCGGGGAGGAGGGAGAGAGGAAGGTGGCACAGGGGGGGGAGGGAGAGGAGGGAGAGGAGAGAGGCGAGGAAGAGGAGGGGGGGAGGAGGGGGAGGAGAGTGCGAAGCGAGACCGCGGGTCTCAGACGACGTCCGCGCTGATCCTGATGTCGAAGCGGTCCAGGCTCGCCGGTTTGGCCTCGGGCTTCTTCGTCGCGCCCCCGAGGAGGGCGGTGAGCATGTAGGCGGCCTCGTGGTCGCTCCGCACGAGGTCTATCGGAGCGGCGCCCTGGTGGCTTCGCCTGGCGGGGTCCGCCCTGCTCGTGATCAGCTCGGTGGCGCTCGCCAGATCGCCCTTGTGGGGGCCTCCCAAAGGGGGTCCGACTGGATGGCGTCGGAGGGTCGCGCCACGTCGCCGACGCATCGCCGATGCGTCGGCGCCGTCGTCGTGAACACATCAGGCTCCACATCTCCGACCCATTTGCGAGGCCTGGGCCTTGGAAGCCGCGATGTGCAGCGCGGTCCTGCCCAAGTTGTCCTGGACAAACGAAGAGCTACCGATACTGCTAAATCCTCCCTGGACCTCTCCCTGACCAAAATACAAAGGCGAATCCAGCCGTGGCGACGAGAGCCTCCCGGGAGGCTCAAAATGGCGAAAACGAGGCAAGAGTTTCTGTTGAAGCCGGCAGCACGATTCAACAGCTGCAAGCCTGGCTGAAAGACATGCTGGTGCGGCTGGGGAGGCTGCACTTGAAAGCCGTTACCTTCCTCGCTAAGCGTGCGGAACGGACGCGCAGAATGCCGAGGGAGAGGACCAGGAGGAGGAGGAGGACGAGGACTAACACGAGATCGAGAAGTGAGCCGAACCAGAACGAGCCAAGGGTAGCGGTATCGGTACCTCTTCCTCCTCTGATGTCCGCCAAGTTCACGTCGGCGTGCCGGTCGCACAGCAGCTCCGCCAGCGCCGCGTTGCCCTCATGGACTGCCACGTGCAGCGGCGAGGACCCTACGCGCGGGACGTTCTGCACGTTGACCGAGGCGCCCGCGCGCACCAGCACCAGCAGCGCCTCCGCGGGGGAACAAAATGTAAGCGACGACGAGGAGGAGGACGACGACGACGACGAAGACAACATCGACGACGACGACGACGACGAAGCCATCTTGGGCCACTGGGGGGGCCCAAGGAAAGCTTCTTGGGGCACCCGGGAAAACGTCTTGGGCCACCTGGGAACCCAAAGATCCGAGGCTCCAGAAAAAACGGAAGCGGGCGGTGTTTGGCCGTCACGGGTCCCAAGACCGTTAAAAACGACTCGTGACAGAAACAACTTACCTTGGATGGGGTATTTACCAAAAGGGGGGTGATAAAGCACGTGCCGACAGCACGTGCCCGACCTCCCCAACGGATTCAAGGGAAAGGGACGATTTTTGCCCCATCCAGAATACCCCAGGAAGCGGTCCTGGGGGTTAGCGCATCGAAAAGGACTAGAGCGTTAGATGTCTGGGAGCGGGCCGTACACACTATGACATGGCGACCATGCGCCGCGGCTTAACGCGCAACATGTAGATAAGGGCGCTTGCTCGCGACCTCACGCGGGCAGCTCACGCGCGAATGTCGGCGCAGTCGACTCCGTCTTCTTCCGTCGTTCATGTGGGGGGACCAGATCAGAGGCGGAACATTGACCTGGAATCGGCGATGCGTCGCCGACAGATCAGCAGTAGGCTCACAATGGCGAAAGCGTACCAGGAGCGTTCTTCAGGAGCAGCGCGGCCTGCCTTGTCTCAGATTGCTGAAAGCTTGAAGCAACAGATCCAGCACCTTCAAAACTCGATTTTGGGTTTGGAGCGGGCGGTGGCGGATTTGGGAGGTTCGGTTGAGTCGAGAATGGCATCGACAGAAACTCCCGTCGAGGACATCGACATCCGCATCGCGAACATCGAAAATGCAATCCGCCGGTCCGGCGTGTGAGTTTCAGAGACCCTCAGAACAGCCTGAACTTCAACTCCTGAGCTTCAGCTCTACTGGGGGGCGGGTGCCAGGGTGGCTCTGCTGGGGTAGGGGGAAAGGGGGGGACTTTATTGGGCGGAATCGGAGCTCCAGCTCATACTGGAACGGCTCCCTCGCCCAGGAGGGCCCCAGCATAGGCCAAGAGGGCCCCGAGTCGCCGAACGATCGCGACAGGACACCCAAGATGTCCCCAAGACGGCTCCAGAAACCCCCAAGATGCTCTCAGAATCCCTGGAACAAAAAACGCCTCCCAAAGAAGGCCCCAAAAAACAACAACGTTCCGACTCCCTTGGGAAAGCATGCAATTTTAGCACATTCGCCTCTTGGGCCTTCAGAGCGTCGCAGAAGCCCAAGAGAGCCCCATAACGGCACAAAAAGCCGTCAAGAGTTCTCCAGGACGGCCCAATAAGGGCCCAGGATGGCCCAGGAGGCCCCTGGAAAAAGCCCAACAGGGCCCCAGAACGGCCCAAGAGGCGCCTGAGAGGGCGCCAAGACGGCGGACAAATTGCCGAAGACGACCCAAGAAACCCCCAGCAGGCCCCCAGAGGCCCCCAAGAGGCCTGCGGAGGCCCAAGATGCCTCCAACTGGCCCCGAAGAGGCCCCCTGAAATGTCCTAAAGGCCCCCCAACGCCTCCTGGAGGCTTCCAAGCTGCCTCCAAGACTCCCCCCGAGAAGCCAAAACCGGCCCCAATGCTTGCGCGACGCTTGCGTCTGAGGACAGGCGCTGCAATGCAGAAAGGTTCTTCCACGTTTTCCCGTATTATCCCTTAGTCGGTGTCTTGCACATCCATGATCTCACAAGGGCCCGCAGAGGACCGCGCGGAGGGCCCCGAGACCCCAAAAACACCACGGGTCCCAGGAGAGACCGGTGATGCACCAGGCTCCACGAAGAACTGTGACGCAGACAGCTCTAGCGCAAAGTTTTTCAGAGAGTGCGCCAAATCGGCGAGGTGTCAACCCAAAGAGGGCCAGCACCTGGCCCCAAAGAGGCCGAAAATCTCCTCATCCTCGTCCTGCTCCGCCTTCTCCCCCTCCCCCTCTTCCACTTCCCGCTTCCTCCTGCTCCCCCTCGTCCTCAGCATCCTGCTTCTCCTGCCCATCACCCCCCCCCACCCCCCTCCACCTCAACATGATCCTCCTCCTCCTCCTCCTCCTCCTCCTCCCCCTCCTCCTTCTCATCCTACTCCGTTGCCTCCATTCCACATCCTCATCATCACCCTCACCGCTCGCCGTCGTCGACGGTCATGGCCGCCATCGCGCGGTTCCGGCAGCTACGGAAGCGTCCTGGGTCGGCGGCACTGGCCGGAGGCCACTACAATATCTATCGACTCGAGGGTATCTGGCGCAGGGTCCCAGACTGAAGAAAAAGTCTGGAAACATATCAAGTCATTGGAGGACGAGCTCGCGATCTTCAAACTTCAACATCTATGCCAGCAACGATCGCATCAATGGACAAGTCACGTTCTCTTACTGCCGTCGTTGGCGGCCTGAAAGATTGTGGAAACATCGATAACGCCTTCAAATTGGTCGGTGACGCTCTTTGGAGCAAAAGGGCACCTCATCCTGTTGACCATTACGTCACGGGCAAGTTCAACGGCATCTTCTCCTTGAAGTTTACTTCTAAAAGACGACCAGGACGCCGCAATGAAAACCCTCAAGGAGGCAAACACCCAACACGGCTCCAACAAGGTATGGGCCAAACCGGATATGCCTTTGGATGCGCGTGTGAACCAATCGTGTCTTTCCAGCGTCCAGCACATGATGATGGAATGGGGATACGACAGCAAGTCGGTGTAGACAGATTTGGATTCATTGTGTGTGAAAGTTAGTTTCGATTCAGTCTTGTCTTCAAACGTTGATCGTGCCAAACTCGTCCTTACTTTGACCATCGATGAATGGAAGGAGGAGCTTCGTGCGACGATTTGGACAAGCTGCGCCTTGAATCCGATGCGAAGCTGGCAAAAGAGCTCCTCCAACCGAAGGCGTTGGTAAAAAGGAAAAAGGAAGCGGAAGCATCAGGAGGCAGCCCGGTCGAACCACAATGCCTTCGTGCTGGAGCAATCACACTGGACTTTCTGTAAAAATGCCCGCTTAAATGGCGATTACAAACTTGCAGAGGTTTTGAAAGAGTGCGGAGAATTCGTTTGGCACTGCATCTGCTTTGGCGAAGCTAGGGCCGCAGATGGGGACGTCGTGTTGCGAGGGGGACACTGACTGATAAGCAGCTTATGTGGACAAATTTGCAGGAGTAGCTTTGCTCATCCACGCCCACTGGGTCGACAAAGCTCTCGAGTACAAGGCCGTTTCGGGCAGAGTTCTACATTGTGACGTACACCTTGGGAGGTACACCTACAAATGGATATCCGTCTACTTTCCGAACGCCGGTCACCCGCATGACGATTTCATAGAGTGTTTGAGCGATGCTCGTTTTCCTGTTTTCGAAGCGCACAGCCAGAACTACTGGTGTGTTGGGGGGTGATTTCAATACCGAGGTTGGAAGTGCAAGATTATCAACTTTCGCTGCCGAATTGGATCTGTCATTTGTAACGTGATCGAGGATGAGCTTCTAGAGAGTCAGTGGACTTTCCGCAGCTGCCTCGGGCGACTCCGCCGTCTAGACTACATCGTGTCAGCAGTTGCGCATCTTCCCACAGTGCAAAGCCGACAAACATGCTTCACCTCGGTTCAGATCACAGAGCGGTGCAGGTGTGCCTTCAAGCTCCAGCGATTGCTGGGCAAAGGGGTCAGCAGAAACGCCGGCAGACGCACAAAGACATTGACTGGGAGATGTATGTCACCAAAATGCCCCAGAAGATCGCTACTCAGGAGTTCCCTCCGACATCTCTGGGCGACGTGGAGCGCATCGCTCTTCTTGATGCTGGAGAGTCGCGGCGGCCCCGGCTGCCCACCCAGCAGACCAACGGGAACGGCCATCTGGACCGTCTTCGAAGAAAAGGGGAGATGCATGACCAACCCGGCCGAGAGACGAGATATTTAAAAGAGATCTGGAGGCTGAGCTGGAAAGAGTATCGCGCACGACAAACAGCCAAGAACACTGAGGCGCTTGCTAGCTTAAGAAAATCTTTGTCGCTGGGACGCGCTGCGCAGATTCCCTATCGCAAGACTGTCACAATAGCGGCGTCCGGATTTTCGTAAATGTGCCGCCCTGCTGTCGGAGATATACACGTCTAGCGTGCGGCTCGACGCGGGCGAACCCGACGGGAGCGACCAGATACCAGCCATTACTGTCGAAGAGAAGCGACGAGACGACGCAAAGCTGCTGACATAAAGGGCGCGTTGCTTGAGATGTTCCTTTTCGGCGGAGACGATATGTTGTACTACTTGTCTGACATGTTTCACACAATTTTGCAGAGTGGTTGCGTTCCGGCGGGCTGGCGGGAGTACTTCAATCTTTTGC